TTCGATCATGATCATAGAATAAAAAAAAAAAAACAATTCGATCATGGATTACAAAAAAAATCGATCAAGTGTTACAAAAAAATCTATCATGGATTACAATACAAGAAAAAATAAAAAAAAATTGTGTTCTTTTATACGGGACTAGCCGATTCACTGTCGCCGATTCACTGTACGAGACTCGCCGATTCCGTACAGTGAATCGGCGAGTCACTGTGCAGAACTATCCGGTTCTCTCTAAAACCGGATGATTCCTATTTTTTTCACCGATTTGATCCGTCCATGACGATTCCCGAGTTGAACAGGGCGAATCCGGTTCGGCTCGGCGTTTTTTTAAGCACTAGTGTTGACCATCGAAACCCTAATTAATTAAAAGTTGAGGCCAAAAGTCCGTTTTATATAGTGACCTGCATGACACGCGACCTTTGATTCATTTAATCAAGTTATATGTACTATTTACGCTTATGTCCATTAGCATAATTTTAGAAGTTTTTGTTCTTGTCCAAGTAATCATGAAACGGGCCTGTTTCTCATTAGCAACCCTATTATTGCTGCTGCTGCTACTAAAATAAAGGGCAAGAATGTCCTTATCTATTAATTGTAAAAAAAAAAAAAGAATGACCTTATATATATACAATACACAGATTTTTTTAGCTTCTAATCATCATCTTTAAAACTAATAATTGGAACTATCCTTTATAACTTTGTTTCTTATAATTTTTTGGTTCTATTCCAACTGTTATCCTCATCATCATTAGAACCTTTTTCAAAATATTTGGAGTTGGCTGGTTTTATTTCAACGGTCATAAGCTAAAATTACAACAAGATTTGTGTATTTAAGATATATAGGAATACCACCAATCCCCCTCCTCTCCTCCCCCACCCCAACCCCCAAATAAAAAATAAGAAAGGGGAAATTTATCAAACTATACTTAAAATGTGAACTATTGAACTTCTTACCGCCAGTTTTTTTATCTGATTACACATAGTTCAGCATTCTCTTCATCAAATTTCAAGTAGCCCATCAGATGATACATCAAAATAGGTTTTAAGACAAAAGATTACGCTTAAGGTAAAATGCCGAATAGTTCAACTTTTAGTGCATTTTAATAAAGAAAAATAGTTTAAAACTTTCTTCGAACTTCTTGGGGTTAAATCTTACACCTCTCATTCAAACAAGATGTCTTCCCACATGCCAAAGGCCCACTTTGTCTATTCATTGAAATAATGTCAGGGTGGGGCTGGCCCGATCTATCAGCCCAGCCCAATTTCGCTTGATTATTAATTCGACCCAGATTGCGCCAATGAGGCTCAGTTCAACTAGCTAGAGCCTGTCGTAAGGATAAGCCGAGCTAGAGGCTCTGGTATCTGAAAGGACACCAAGAAAAATAAGGGAAAATGATGTAGTCTGCCTCCTTAACAAATATGATCAACTTAGACCTTCAGGTCTCCAAAACCTCATGGATCCTTTGATGAATTGGACGGATAATCCCCTCCCCACATCTGGTTGGGAGGAGTATCCATGTCATTTTCCCTTTAAACAATGTGAGGGATTCAGTCGAGTACCCTCGAGTTATGTGCAAATTAGGGCATACAACAAAGAAACCCCCATGAAAGAAGAAATAATGATTTGTGTAAATTACCTAGTGGTAAAATTTGTGGATTGTCGTGTCGATTCGAATGAATCAATCTTTTCACTTAACACAAGAGTTAAATCTTTGCCTACTAGGCAAGAGGATAACAAGTTATAAATTAAACCTTTGCCTACTAGGCAAGAGGATAGCAAGTTATAAATTAAATCTTTGCCTACTAGGCAAGAGGATAGCAAGTTATAAATTATGTCTCGATAGGACAAGCATTTCTACTATATTAAGCGGTTAATGGTGGCATTACTATCACCTTTTTTGTAGTGACGAAATATTGTCTGTGTTTCTCATCCTTTGCTTGTATGAACCAAAGGGAAAGATGACTTTGGGTGGCTCCAAATTTGAAACCAAGTGGATAAATTAGGAATTTCTTTCAAGTGGATTCATTGGATCCATTCATTAGTAGTGTTGAGTCAGAATTAGTATAGCTGACCTTCCTCCGAGGTTGCCTTGCAGTTTTGATCAAAAAAGACATGCTACATATCAAAAATAAAAAAGTAATAAAAGTGAAAATATTATACAAATTTTTTTATATGATTTATATGTATTTGTACATATCAAAAATAAAAAACTAATAAAAATTGAAAATATTATATAAATTTTTTATATGATTTAGATGTGTTTTTGCCGTAAGTACGATTTTTTTTAAGTATCCCAAACTATAAATAGGTTTTTTATTTACAGTATTTCAATCCCTAAAAATAACGTGCATCGTATCACATCATCGAGACCCTCCATTTTCAAGTGTTCATAGGTCCTTGAGATATGTACCATTTGTTAAATTCTACAATCAATAATTATGAATAGAATTTAGAGCCATCATAAATATTTTTGTGGACAAGGTTTTGAGGTGAGGCTTTACATTTTCTCATAAGGCCTAGGCTTTATAGAAATTGCATCCCCTAACTAAAACGTAGTTGTGTTCCAGGAGTGTGGCCTGAGTCAGAGAGCTTCAATGACAAGGGCATGGGATCCCATCCCTGGCCGTTGGAAGGGAATCTGCCAACCAGGCCAGCAATTCAACTCATCAAATTGCAATCGCAAGCTCATCGGTGCTCGTTGGTTCGTCAAAGGGCTCGAAGCCGAGCTAGGAGAACCCGTGTCCACTGCTGACCCTACCGAGATAGTGTCTGCTCGTGACATTAATGGCCATGGCACACACTGTGCCTCCACAGCAGTGGGCTCTCCAGTAGCATCCGCAACGTATCGTGGGCTAGCGGTTGGAGTGGCCCGGGGTGGAGCACCGCTTGCTCGCCTTGCTGTGTACAAGGTCCTTGTGGACGTTAGGCGGGTCCGCTGCAGACATACTGAAGGCCATTGACTATGCCATCCATGATGGGGTTGATGTCCTGTCTATTTCCCTTGGCATTCGCACTCTACCCCTTTACTCTTATGTGGACGAAGGTGACGGCATAGCCATTGGCGCATTCCATGCCATGGCTCGAGGAATCACGGTCGTATGTTCAGCGGGAAATGAAGGGCCTGAACCTCGAACAGTCAAGAACACTGCACCTTGGATCATAACAGTTGCTGCTAGCACCATTGATCGCGCATTCCCCACTGCCATCACTTTGGGGAACAATCGTACATTCTTGGTATTCAAATTTTTGGAGAATCTCAACTTAATCTTCGAAAACAATTTTTTCACATGAGCATTTTGATTGTTGTGATGTAGGGTCAGGCCATGAATACTGAGAAAACATTGGAAGCATTTGTTGGGTTGGAGGAATCAATGAACCTTGCTACAAATAGTAGCTTTGGACCTCTAGCTAGGTATGTAAAGAAGGAGATGGTTTTGATAAGGTTGAAAATTTACATAAATTTTGATAAAGATGTTGCTTAAAACCCCATAAAAAAAAGCAGATCAAGTTCAGGAAAACCTTGTAAAGGTTCCTACTGCACAATTTTAAGCTTTAAAAATAGTGTAAAATAAACACCTAAAACGGGGATCTAGATAAAGGTTTGCAAGATTGACCATTTTTAAGCCCTAAAATCTCTTCTTTCTTTTTTTTTTTTTAGATCCATAATAATCGAGGTGGAGATGATATTGGAACTATGTTTTCTAAAGAGATTTAAGGTCCATTTATAAAAATAACAAGTTTATATAAAGGTGAGGCCCCAAATCTCAAAAAATCACTAAAAGAAGTTGTTTCGAACTTAAAAAAAAAAACTCTCAATTCCATCATTTCGACTTCAAGATTTATGGAAATGAGAAAAAATAAATTTCAAATTTTAGAAATAGTGGATCTTTTAATACATATCTAGACCATCAATTTTCAAGATTTTCAAGTGTTCATATATCTGCTCGATCTATACTATGTTTTAACCTTTAAATTTTTAGACTTGGAGATTAAATAAATTTTTAGGCCATCATAAAGATTTATGATATTAAAAAGATATATTTTCGGCACTGTTTGAAGGTGTACCTTACTTTGATTGTTTAGGGCCTCGGCCTTATACAAACTACACCCTTTATAATAATAAAAAACCAAGACTCACTGCAATGCTTTTACTATTCTTTCTTTAAAGAGGAAGGCACCCTTTTTTTCTTAGAGGTTTTTCAAAGTTGGGTAGAATGATGTCAAATTAGGCCCAACAAGGCTCCCATCCATCTAACCTAGGGCCAAATTGTCACAAAAATACACAAAAACATTCCCTGACCTTGAGCAATGACTCTAGGGGCCAACGTACTGGGTTTTAAATTCAATTGCTCAATTGTTTGAGTTGGACACCTGGTTTTAATTACCTAGCCACTGAATGTTGATTGTTCCATTCAAAACCTGGGTTAATTGCAATCTCAGTCTAACTAGCCAAGTTAAGCTGTGTTGAAACCAGCCTACTAAACCCTATGAATGGTCCATTTGTCCTGCGTATATTACACAAATTGAAGTCTGGCTCAGTCCAAAGAGTCCCTTGAGGGACCAACACCTAGCCTGTGTTGGGACTTCCCTGTCTCATTCACAAACTAGTTTTCCTATGTTCTAAAGGAAAAAATTCCTATGAGGTTGCAACTTTGTAGGATATAACTAAGGTGCATCTCAAAAATCAAGTACAAAAGAGTATTATGAAGTTGGAAAACCTTCCGATTGATTATCTCGACCTCAAGATGTATGGATATATAAAAAAATATCATGTCTTAAAAATAGTGTATCTTCTAACAAGTTTTTTGGAATGTCTATTTTCAAGATTTTTAAGTATTTATATATCTGTTCGATCTGCATTTTTTTAAAAATTTTAAAAGTTGAATACAGATTTTCAATCTATTGTAAAGTTTTCAACATCGGAATTACATCTTCTGGCAAAATCTAGAAATGCACTTTACTAATATATTGCGAGGTGGGCAACTTGTACAAACCTCACTCTTTTTAAAACCATAAAAGGTGAGAAAGTCCCCTTTAGTATTCAATAAATGGGACTGATTGAATGAAAGGAAGGGGGAGTTGTCCATAGTCTACTGAGGGATACTGTAAATACTAATATGATGATGCTACATTGTATTTTCAAATATTATCCTAACCTATTCAAAAAATGACTTTCGAACCTAAATTGTAAGAAAGTTTTGGATGCAGATTTATGGTTTTCTAGTATTTTGAGTAAGTTTAACCTCTAGAAACATTGTGATTTAATAACAATTTTCCCCTTTCAAAATCATTTTCACCTTTTTATATTTTTTTCCTTTTTCTTTTCTTTTTTTTTGGGGGGAACTGGGTTTGAGTGTTAAGAGGTTAACTACTTTGTATACCACACCTAAAGGGAGGAAATAATTTATAACGGGTAAGGATATTTGTTTGGTAAAATGTGGTTGGAGTGATATTTATGTAAAAGGATTGTATAACCATTCATTTTTTGTACAAAAATGTCACAATTGTTTTTAGCCACTGGATATGAAATCTACCATACTAAAATATATCACAGCTTTCGAGAAATTTGTTTTGGATATTGTGCTTAATTACTGTCACATCACCACCGATTTGATTTCACATCCCATAGTTGACAATGATTGTGAGCTTTTGGTATCAAAAATAAATGGTCTCATCATATATATTTTCTTATACAAATTCATATTTCTAAAATCCAATGTCCTCAATGAATCAACTGTGTATCAGTTTCGAGAACATTGGGTATTTATAACATTCACACACACAGCAATTACCTTTCTTTCTTTCCTTTTTCTCCTTTTTTGAACTTCAAAGAGTGGAGTCCTTCTAATGCTAAGAATATGCAGGCGATGCTTGAGTGGATTTTTAAGGCCTGGGTCAGCTAAAGGGAAGGTTGTTCTCTGTTTCGCACCTAGCACTACCCAAGCATCCCAAGCAGTTGCTTCAGCGGGGGGAATAGGTGCCATCTTTGTGCAACAATCAAACAACCTCTTAACTCCATGCACACCAATTCCATGCATTCAAGTAGATTACCAAGTTGGCACTCAGATACTTTCTTACATCCAAAAGTCCAGGTAAGCTCACTCCTTAGAAATAATGTTTTATTAAAGAGTCAGTTACATTTTGAGAGCTTAGTGTTCTTTTTTTTTCTTCTTTTTTTTTTTTTTTTCTTTTTTTTTTGACAAGAGTATTTAACTTTTATTGCAATAAGTCAAAACAAAAATAAATTGGTTAAAGTAGAACAGAGGAAATAACTAAACCATCAAGATCCACCCCTTTTTTAGCCAACTCATCAGCAGCCAAGAAAGCCTCCCTGCAAACATGGTGATAATATTGAGAGACCAACAGTTGATAATATTGAGAGAATCCCCTTCAACAATCAACCCATTTCCCAAACTTTTCTCTTTCCATATCAAACACCCCTGTAATAAGGCAGCCAATTCAGCGTGATTAGATGTTACAACCCCACACGGGCCAACAAAGCAAAATAATACAGACCCCTCACTACCCCTACAAACACCACCAATTCCAGCGTTCCTAGTATTTCCAAACGAAGAACCATCAAAATTAAGCTTAAAGCTACCTTCTATTGGAGAGATCCATATCAATCTCGATCAAATCTTAAGGAAGCGGTAATTTATCAAATTTTCCAAGTTATAGAAAACATCAACTTTAGAAACCTCAAACCCCTCTTTCGTCACTCTGAACCAATTCCAAACCGTATTCAAAAATCTATTTCTGATTTCCAATAAATCCAATGATACTCCATCAAAAGGTCTTTCATAGTATTCAATTACATTAGATTGTTTTGTTAATAAAAAAAATTTATTGTGTCTTATTTATACGCTTCTTTGCATCTCTACTCTCTACATGTGCTGTCTAATTTTTTCTCAATGTAAAAATATTCAATGTGACCTAAATACACATCCCCCTTTATTTAAAAGATATATGAACTTCTCATGTCTAGAAGGCAAATTTTAGATTGACATTAGCATGTACCTATCCGCGCCTATATGCTGCTATCCACCAAGTACGTCATTTCCTTTTTGTACCCTTCGTGTTAAAAATCGTCTTATTATTTTATTTTTTATTTTTTTGGTAAAAACTCTTAGGTCCTATTTGGATGACTCTTAATTTTCTATGGAATATTTAATTGTATCTAAAATTAGTTAATGTGGTTTGTATAAGGCTGAGGCCCTAACAAGCAAACTAAGGTGCACCTTCAAATATTACTAAAATATATTGTTTTAGTATAAAAATATTTAAGATGACCTTAAAATTTATTTCAACTTGAATTATAAAATTAAAAGATTAAAAAATAGTGTAGATCAAGCAGATCTATGAACATTTGAAAATCTTGAAAATTGAGGGGATAGTTGATACAAGATGCACTATTTCCAAAACTTGAAATCTATTTTGTTTTCTCGTATCAATACATCTGGAGATTGTGATGATCGAATTGAGGGATTTTTATTATTGAAATATTTATCATCTCATGAATGTTTTAGGTGCACTTAATTTGATTGTTTAAGGCTTCAACCTTTTATAAACATTTTTCAAAATTAATATATACTCTGAATAGTGTTATTTTGTTAGTTGTTTGGTACATAATTGCATAATATTATTTAACTATTTAATTTTTTTTAGTGATTTTCTATAATTTTTAGTTATTTCTAGCTCATGACATATGATGTTCAGCAATTTTTGTGAATAAAGTAAAAACAGTTTCTCAAAAAGATAAACTTATATATATAAATGCCTATAAGGTGATCTCATATATTATGATGGACATAACTAAAAAACATATAACCTATTATCTGGACTAACTTTATTGTGATAATGAGTACATCCAAATGGGCCCTTACATTTGTCACTTATTGATTAACTTAACGAGCCAATTCACCTCTAATACTTTCAATCGCCTGCTGTCCAGAAAGCATTTCCCTGATGTGTTTGAGCTATCTTCTCTTCACTATCATATTTTACAAGCTATCTTGCCCTCTATCTTAGAATTCCATCCTTCTAGAATATCATTAAAACAAATAAAAATATAAGAGCCTATATGCTTCATGCTCTATGAACCAATTCTAGGATTGATAGTTGAGGTATACAGTCCATTTGTTTTTGGGCAAGCAAATAATGGACTTCAACAAAGGAATGCTTCATTTCAATAGTTTGTTCTTATAAAGGACATTCAAGGCAAAATATATTGCATTGATTATATTGGTCATGTAGTCATGATAATCCTATTTGAAAATCATTTGAGAACATTTTTTGCCCTTTTTTTCTTCTGAACATGCCTAGAGGGAGTGGGAGTCAGTGTTAAAAAAATTTGGAAATGGACCCTAAGTCGGCGAGGGTCCAATTTTGATTTTGCTAGTAGTTGGGCTAGGTTATAATTCGCAAAGAAATAAGGAAAACAGATGATCGGATGTATTGGGCGGATTCTAGAATTTTCTATCGGAATTGTCCACCTAGTTCTGATCCAACTCAATCGATTCCCATTCAAGGCCGAAGAATTTTGAATTATTGGTTCACATAGTTATCACTCTTGCCAACATTTGTTGCATTCTACAGCTGTGATTTGCCCAAAAGTGTGCCTGAAAGATTTTAATGAAGAAATGACTCTAACTGAAATGAAACTACAGAACACATAAATGGGAAAACGAAACTCATTCTTGATCGTTACGGTACGGATCATGAGTTTCTTATGTTGAACATTGGATTTAGGGAGGATTTCTAAGGGACCTTAGCCACATTATTTAATTTACATCCCAGTTCATTTTGTATAAACAAGGACCATCCTTGTATCAAAGGATGTAGTATAAAAAGTGACCCTCACATAAGCCAAATGGTTTAATGAGACTCACCTAGTAAAGTTGAGTCTAAGCTGCAATTACTATTAGTAATCAAGCTTGCTTGCTTGCTTCTTTGTGTGTGGACTAGCTTGTTGTTGTTTTAAGTTCCCTCTGGATGAATTTTGTTCCGAAGTGTCCAAAAGATCCCCTCCCTTTGACTAGAGTGGTTTTATAGACTTTAAGAGAGATATGGTTGAAGAACATAAGTCTTTGTCCAACTTTTGTTGATCTCTAGCCATTCCTTCTTCAATTCAAAAGGCCGATGACGCTTAGATTGAATCATTTGTTATTTGAATTTGAACTATAAATGTTTTGATCACGGTTCTTGTTCGACAGTCAACTTGTCCTATAAACTTTGACCAAATGTTCTCGTGTGGTGAGACAGTTTAATAACTTATTCAGAACTTCCTTGTTTTTCACTTAAGACCCATGGGTTTTTTATACCCATTTCATTCCTCTGAAAGAGCTTTATACTCATATGTGCATGATTTGTTGAACACCATATCTTGATAATTGGTTGTTTCAATGGACCTTCTGGTAATCAAAATAGCATAGGTCCTTCTCAAGGCTCTACCTCTTGGAAATTTTTATGAGAGATTTTTAGTGGCACCCAAACATGTTGCTCTAATAGTATCTCAAACTATTGGCAAGAATATACCACTCCATTAGACATCATTGTGGTATACCTTTTTATCTTTTGAAGTAAAGGTAGCAGATATAGATATTTTTGGGCTCACTGAGGAGCAGATATAGAGACTTATGGGCTCATTGAGGTTACGACTCTGAATAGCGCAGAAAAGCAGACAAGCATAAATATAGCAGACCCCAAAAAAATTGAGAAAAGAATTTGATGATGATAATGAAGTAAGGTGAGCATCTGTTATTGTATAGATGATCAACTATTTATTGACTTTGTGACAACAAGAAACATTCCTATCAAGATAGTCACGTTGCAAGATACAATAATGACACCAACAATGATCACCATTGCAGTTCTATGTAATGCGAGAACTTGCTTACACGGTAAATGAATATACTAATAGTAACTTGGTTCCCTTACTAAATGGACTTTTAAATTGCAAATTCTCATAATACATGGCCTCTTAATCTATGTTAAATATTTTATCAATGTAGTCATATGAGCTTACCCTACAATAGATTAATGTTTACAAATATAGCCATGTCTGCTCTAATGATATACAACAATGAGCTTAGAGTCTCATTCCACCCAAAACAAAAAAATTCTCAATAATTAGTTACATATTACAATTTAATGAACTTTTATCGGATCGTCAAAGCATAAGATGTTTTAGCATAATACATAAAGAAAGAGAGCTAAACCCTAAGTGAGGATCACCCTACTCACCACCAAAACCTTGTGGGATTAAGTTAATCATCCTCAAAGAAAGAACATTGTGAATACTTATTCTTTACTGTTATAACTAGAGAAACGAAGGAGAATTTCAAGCCATCCACAAAGATGCATATGACCTAATTTATGAAATTTTTATATACTTTCTCTGAAATGGAAATGGAGTTATTCCAATCTTGGGTTCAAAGTTCCTAATCGAAGTTGGGTTACTAACCTATTAAATCCTTGAAAATTTCGCTACTAGTGTAATGAATTTTAAAAATAATTGTTGATTCCTAGTTCAAGTTTTGAAACTCGAATTAAAAGATCAGTGGCATGCAGTTCTCCAGTGGTGAAGATAAGTCATTCAAACACATTAATAGGAAGCATAAAATCACCCAAAGTGGCCATCTTTTCCTCACGAGGACCCAATTCCTTATCTCCAGCTATTTTAAAGGTAAATGGTTGCTCACTTTTCTCTCTTTAAGGTGATTGAAAAAATTACCATACTCATGTTACAATAGCAGCAATATCTTGTGCTTTCAACAATTTGATACCAAAAATGGACAAGTTTAGGCACAAATTTTGCAAAGGATTCCCTTTCATCTAAATTTTTTACCATGGTGACATTGCTCATACAAAAATTTTGATCACAAAATCTAGTTTTGGTTTCAAGATCATGATTTTCAAGCCATCCTACTACTATTGCACAAGTGATTAACTTTAAACAAATGGTGCGTATATGCATTTCTATAAATAACAAAGTTGAAGAGGCAATTGTATTTTGAATGCAACCTTCAAGCATGCATGGTGAATCATATGAAATCAATGGCATACAAATGTCATAGAATAAGCCCATTTAACTTTGAGACAGTATGAGATCTATTTGTTTTTCTTCATGGAACAGCCAGATATAACTGCTCCTGGGGTCTACATTTTGGCTGCAGCACCAACGTCAGACTCGACAAGCGACAAGTTTGTATTCATGTCAGGAACCTCAATGTCATGCCCCCATGTAGCCGGCCTAGTCGCTTTGCTCAAGTCTATCTATCCTAATTGGTCTCCTGCTGCAATAAAATCCGCTCTTATCACCACTGGTGCATCTCTCTCTCTCACTTATGAAAGATCAATTTTGGCATTTGAACCTAAGATGTAGAGCTTCAATTGTCAACAACCTAACCATTGATGCCCATACCAATTGATATCATTTTCTCCATCCGACAAAGGACCATGTTAAGCCATTTATGAAAATCCCTCATAGTTGCAAGTTGGATCCAGTTCAAATTGGTATTGGTTTTGACCCAGTGTTTCAAAACTCGAATCAGGCTCTGACTCATCAAGGTTTGCTTCAGATTTAGGCTCTCGAGCATTCCCTAGTTGAATCAAGCTATATTTTACAATGAAATTAGAAAAAAGAAAGAAACAGAAAGCTAATAACTACTAGACTTGGAGCAATTATGGGGTTCCTCGAACAGTAATCACTTTGCTCCAGATCCCAACCTGACTTAGGGGAATCCAATTTGGCTTTGAAATTTTTTCATCACTAATTTGGACAACTGTTTAACCCCTTAAAAACCCAGAGTTTACCTGTTTGGTTGAGTCACTCGTTTAGTTTTGGAAGGAAAAAATGACACACATAGCTGCCTGATTTCACATTTGCAACTACTGGTATTTTTCTTCTTCATTTTTTTTTTTCTCTTGCCAAAAGTAAATGATTTTATAGTATACAATCTTTTTGTAAAATGCCCTTGTTTATCTAAAAAATAAATGACGAGCTACTGGTTATTTGCTAAAAAAAATGGCCTATCCAGGTAGTAATTTGATGTTTATGATGGCTTCTCGCAAATCCACTAGAAGCCACATGGACCCTCATGCTCTTTAGCATATACCTTAATTAACTTGTGCTAAAGAAAAAATAATTATAAATTGTAAAATTAAAAAAACTAAGAGATACAAAAATGTATGCCTTGTGGATTTAAAAAAAAAAAAAACATAGAATCAGGTATATGCATATGATCATATATCTATCATTTGAATATATATTACAATCAATTGACTGCAAATACGTTCCAATTGAAGCATCAACAATAGACAAAAATGAAGAGCCAATGCTAGCAGAGGGAAGTCCCCGCAAGGTGGCCGACCCCTTCGACTACGGTGGTGGCCATGTGATCCCTAACCTAGCTGCTGATCCCGGTCTCATTTATGACATGGATATTTCTGACCATATCATGTTCCTCTGTGCCATGGGCTACAACAATTCTGCCATCTCATTCGTCGCCTCAGAAAAAATCTCCTGCCCTAAGGAGCCCCCCTCAATACCAAATCTAAACCTACCCTCTATTGTAATTCCTGAGCTTAAAACTTCAGTGACCATTACAAGAAAGGTTACCAATGTGGGTGAGGTCCAATCAGTCTACCAAGCTATGGTTTTGTCTCCTACTGGTGTGAAAGTAGTAGTGGAACCTGCAGTTTTATACTTCAATAATGCAACCAAAGTGCTTCCTTTCAAGGTGACCTTCACAGTGGTACACCAAATGCAGGGGGACTATACCTTTGGGAGTTTGATTTGGAGTGATGGCGAGCACTTTGTTCGTAGCCCGATTGCTGTACGCAGGGTGATGTACGACTCCTATGCAGATATCTATTAAAGTTCAACAAATATTCTTAACTAAGTGCTTTTTAAAATAAGTTGTACCTCAAAAATCTATTCGAAAATGTTACTCAAACACTGAAAAACCCTCAAATTGATCATCTCGACCTCGAGTTGTATGAACATGAACAAAAAACTTTGAAGTCTTAAAAATACTACATCTTATCTAGACGATCTATTTCAAGATTTTTAAGTGTTTTTATGGATGTGCTCGATCTATTCTAATTTTAGAGCTTTAAATTTTATAATTAGCTACTAAAGTAGATTTTCAAGCAAGTTTCCGGAAATGAAATTGCATCTAACAATAGAATTTTGGATGTGCCTTATTTTGATTGTTTAAGGTTGATACCTTACGTGAACCACACACTTAAATAATCTCACGTGCCGCTATTGAAGCATAGGGCTCAATAATACAACAGTTTAACATATTGACAATGTGTTATTTTCTTTCATACATGGAGAGAGAAAGATCTACTACAAAAAAAAAGTTCTTAAAAAAAAAGTAACAAAAATGAGGCACATAAATATGGTGGATTAATATGCGAATGCCATATAAATCATGTCTTATTGATAACAATAAACTGAATTTAGCATGTCTATAAACAAAATCAATCCAAAGTCAACACATATTAACACACTGTTAATTCATATGGATTACAGGTACATGTGAATTTATTTTCTACTTAGCCACATTGTAGTTTAGAAGATCAAAAGTTTAAAACAAACGAAAATAGACAAGAAAGCCAATCTCTTTTGATTCTCTGTACATGCTTTGAATCATTCCTTCGGGCCTCTCTTCACCCGTTGTTGGTGCATTTCTGAGGGGTTCTTGGAGCTGCAACATTCAAAGTTTCGACATTCATGGATGGATCATTTTTAATTGACTACGAGAGAGCAAGAGAGAGAGTACCTAGTCCCATGGCTTCGGAGCTTTTCATTAGTCTCAAGCGTTTGCATGATTCCACAAACATTCTGTAGATTAGAGAGCGAGAAAATGATTAGACTCTCCATGCTTTGAAGTTTCAGAACTTGTCGATCTAACTTGGAATCTCTTGAGACAGATCGGGATTAGGTAGTTAGTTCTTACTGGTTGAACCCCACGATCACCTCTACTTTCTGTTCTTTAGATTATGTTTTCAATTTTTAATAAATACGGACTCATCCATCTCGAAAATTGTCTGAGCCACATGAATCAAATCGGAACCGAACCTCAGAAAAGCTAGGGCGGATTCCCATTTTTTATTTAAAGAAAAGGATCCCAAAACGATTAATTGGGGCATTATGGTTCAATAGCAAAAAAAAAAAACAATAGCTTTTCTCATACGGACATTATAGGAGTGTTAATTTCAAAAGAACACTATCACAACGGTAATTTAGTAATTTGATTCAAGGGTAAGGGTATTATTGTAAAACGAGGTTTAGGCATTATGGTTCAAAACAAAAAAAAAATCTATAGCTTTTCACATACGGACATTATAAAATTGTTAATTTCAAAAGGATAATTGGTCCTATCACAACGGTAATTTGGTAATTTGATTCAAGGGTATTATTGTAAAACGAGGTTTACAAACATAGTTTCGTGACCCTTATAGGGATGGCAACCGGGCGAATCGGATCCAGACTTGAAAAATGATATGGCCCCAACCCCAAACCCGATCGAATCCGACCCAAAAATTAAAATATTTATATATTTAACTATATTTAAATATTCCATCTAATAGGATCGGAAAAATATTTCCAAACCCAAACCGGACAGGCTGGATTCAATTTTTGGACCCATACCCAGACTCGAATCGAGTCTACCCCTCGGGTCCTGGTTTGGTCCGGCTCCATTGCCGCCCCAAGACCCATTCGCCCCTCTAGAGAACAACTATGGATCAACAAATAAAAATTTTAAAAATCAAGGAATAGAAATTTGAAAAAATTATTAAAACCTTGATGAAAAATATAGAAGATGTCTACCGACATTATTAACAACATTATTGGGGAGAGAGGCAGGGTGTCGAATTAACAGCGGTAATTTGGCCGTTCAAGAAAAATATCAAGCGCGTTATTGTCATTTTGTCTTTTCAGAAACATATCAACGGCGTTGTTGTCATATATGAAATATGCGTGCAGCATATCAAAGGTGGGATGAAATGGGTTCACAAGGTTAATTTCGCCATATTAGAATCATATGAAGGCTATTATCGTAATGGGTGTGGTTTCTTTAAAGTTAGAAACTTTAAACAATCAATTAAGGCGCAGCTCCAAATTTTATAATTTTGGTGTTAAAATATTTTAGAATTATCTCAAACTCTACTTATATATCTAATTATAAAATTTTAAACTTCAAAAATAGTTAAAATCAAGTAGATCTATAAATATTGAAAATAGACGGTCTAGATAATTTGTTGTAAGATGCACTATTTATGAGCCTCAAAATCTTTCTTTTTTGCCATATACATACATCTCAATGCCGAAATGATCACTTAGACGGTTTTTCAACATTAAAACAACCTTTTTTGATAGATTTTTAGGTTCATCTTTAATTCTACACCTTGAGGTTGCAACCTTATATAAACTTTTTCCCATAAGTGTGTAGTTTCTATAAGCTTGCAACTTTAAACGATCCAATTAAGGCACACCTGCAAATTTTATCGTAACATGTAATTTTGGTGTAAAAAATTCTTATAATTATCTCAAAATCTACTTTCATATTTAATTATAAAATTTTAAACTCCAAAAATATTTAAAATCAAATAGATCTACAAACATATATATATCTTGAAAATTGACAGTCTAGATAATTAGTTGCAAGATGCACTATTTTTTAAAATCATATTTGCAACAATAGTGAGGATATAAAAGTAATTTGATCATTTTATATAAACATCCACCATGGACCTTGTATAAAGTCTACCCTCCATGGATTTCATATAAACGATGCACCAAAAAGTACTAAAAAACTTATATTTAAATTTTTTAAAAAAAAATTATATTCATGATAATCTTGGCTAGATGAAATTATAAATAAATAATCTTTCTCTAAAATGAATTTTAGAGTGTGTACATATGAGTTGGTCGACTCATAAAACCCCATCCTTTTTATAGTGTCTTTCAATTAATTCCTTGCTCTCTTTTTTTCCCTTAAATAAGGTGGGTTTCCATCTCAATCGTTTTCATCATTTTTTAAAAAATTAATGGAGACAATTTTGTGGGAAACTTACGGAAAATATTTTAAATTTAAAAATATTCCAATATACACAGTATAATCGTATTTTGGTTTCATAACTTTTTAATTCAACAGATGAAGCTCAAACTTGATGCACTAACAATTCTCACCATCACACACTTATAAGTATCTAATGAAATAGTAAAAATAATAAATGACAAAATACACCAAAATATTTAGGGTATTTTGAGATATTTTACAAAAAACATATAGGTATTTGAATGTGAAAAGTATCAACATACCAATTTTAAGATCAATTTGACGTATAGAAAAAATTAAAATTGAAAAGTAATGTGTGCTTTTAAAAAGTGGGATTTTAAAATATATAATATATGTTACTAGTTTTTAATTTTTTAAAAAAATTAAGACCTTTTTCTAAAATTTTCCTAATCTCGTCGACTTTTCTTTTGAAATTTGTATTGGATATACAAACAGACCATTTACTTTTAACAAAAAATATCACAATCTCTTATGCATAATATTATAAATCGGGTGATTGTAAGTATATTATAGACTAGACTTAAAATTCAAAAAACAAAATTATCAATCTTCATTACAAGCCGTACCCAATGAAATCTGAAAAGTGATTACGATATCTTTCTAATAATGGTAAATGAAAACAATATAATTAGCCGAAAGAAAAACTTACTGCCAGGGGACATCTCCAACGAGCATCCAATCACCGTCCTTGTCCTCGTAGGTGGGAACGTACTCTGTGCCGCTTGATATGTCCACTAATTTACTTTCACTTGAATACTCGCTTTGACCTGAAAATTATAAATATTAGATAAATAAACCCAAAAAAAAAATAAGGAGCAACTAAAAAGGGCATCTTTGCCACTCGCTTTGAGCTGAAAAATATAAATATTAGATAAATAAACCCAAAAAAAAAATAAGGAGCAACTATAAAGGGCATCTTTGCCACCAAAAACTTTGACCGACCTTTTTTTATAATTTCTGCATATGATTGAAGCATTTTTTATTTTATTTAAAATTTTAAAATCTTTTTTTTGTATTTATTTAAAATTTTAAAATCCTTAAATCACTCTTAAAAGTATTAGTAAAAATGGAGGTTGTGACCTTAACTGGGATTTCATGAGGTACTACCATCACAACCCCAGCACCATTCTCATGTCTCACTTAATACAAGAGAGATTACATTTGAGAATTTTTACCTCAAACCCAGCACCATTCTCATGTCTTACATAGTACAAGAGAGATTACATTTGAGAATTTTTACCTCAAACCCAAATATTGAGAAGATCTATAACCAATGTATTAGTATATACTATGACACCATTTAGTTTTGAAATAAAGTGGTCACAATTACTTACAACCATTCGAAGTGAAATTTGATAGCTTGAACATGTCATAAAATTCAAAAAATTATCATTTGAAATTTAAGTTTCATTAATGGAATAAATACAGGCATCTAATTTCACATCTAATGATCAAGATTAATTGTGACTACCATGTATCACATGCAAGCGGTTACTTTTACTATGGTTTACTATCCCTCCAAAAGCAAAGAATAGTTGATTTCTCTCTCCTTCCTCACATCCCCAAGTAGTGAGAGAATTAATCGTTCTGAGAGAATCCAATGCAAACATACAAGTGATTTCCGTAAAGACTTTAAAATTTTAGGTAGAATACATAATACTTGAGGTAAAATACAAAATCCTCCAATTATATGCATAAATTATCAAGAATGTCAGTCAACCCGCTTTTTTTTATTTTATCCAAAACTATCTCCGGGTCAACCCAAATTTGGAAATTTTTTTAGTTTATTTAAATTTTTCGTTCATAGGACAATGCCTCGATCAGTAAGACACTGCCCTACTAAAACGAATAAAAAACTAAAAAGATCAAAATTCACTGCCCTACTAAAACGAATAAAAAACTAAAAAGATCAAAATTCAAGTTGACAGGTGGGGCATTTTTTAAAACAAATACAAAAAAAAAGGTTGATCGACCTTATTTGTAATTTCTATATATAAATAGAGCATTTTGTATTTTATCTAAAATTTTAGAGTCCATACCTAAATTACTCTACTTCTAAAAAAAAAATCGACACTTTCCAAAAGTACAAAAATGTAATCCCAACTAATTTATCCAAAAAAAAAAAACTAATGGAAGATACCAAAGTGCGAGGAAGAACCTCTCCCTCGTTCTCTCTCTCTCTCTCTAATGCACTCAGCTATATAAGCAGTATGCTCCGGGTGCACGGAGCAATGGACATTCAAGCTTGAGAGGGTTCACTTATTAAGGGCGTACAAATACAAATTGTGAGTCTATTCAGACTCCGAGTTACCTCGCCTTCACAAAGTGCGGAGTAAAAGAACTGCCGAGTGAAGGAACTAATCAATCTCTGTCAGTTCTTGTATTTTATTATTATCACATCTAAAGATGACCGAGTCTGCACGGACAACTCGGACACAGGGGAGAGAGAAAGAGAAAGGACTTACAAATGGTGAAGCAGGCGAATAGGTTGGGCAAGGCGGTGAGGAGTTGTTGGTAGGTGGAGTAAGTTTGCAAGTCCACCTTCCGTAGATACGGTGCCCCATCAACCGCCACCTTCACATATGACGCAATTTCATTGTTGTTGTTGATACTGTTGTTGTTCTTCTTAAACGATGATCTCACTGGCGGCCACCCCACTATTTGAACCCTGTCCATTCCCATCACACTCTTCTTAGCAAATTATCCTCTCTCTCACAAAAACACACACTCTTCTTAGCTAATTATTCTCTCTCTCACACACACAAAACACACTCTCATTTTAGCTAATTATTCTCTTCTTTCTCTATACACAAAGTCCACAATTCATTGATCTCTCTCCTAAGAGAACCAAAAAAACGAACACAGCAAAATGTTGCTTTCTTTCTCCACAATTCAGTTCTCTTTCTCTCTCTCTGGTTCTTAAGAGAACAAAACAAAACAAAATCAGTAAAACGAACGAACAATGCATACACGCTTGAAATTAATGGGGTCTCTATCTCTCTGTGCACTGCTCCTGAGAAAACGAACGAACAATGCATTTACGCTTGAAATTAATGCGGTCTCTATCTCTCTGTGGACTTTTACATAAGAAAACAAACCCACTCTGGCAAATTATTGGTCTCTTTCGGGGCGCACGTGTACCGTCATTTTTTTTGTACGATCAACACCGTCTAGCCAGTGTCTTGGACGGTGGTAGAGAGAGTGAACGTACAATTGAATCATTTTTCTTTGACGTGTCCGTCTCTCTCTCTATGACCGTTCAACCACTGAATTCACGGTGATGACCCTGAGCACCACAACATTTGATTTTTACTTGAACTTGCCCTGATTTTCTTTGAAAATGATACAAATATCCAATTAACTGAAGGGTACACCTAGAGGAAAAAAGACCAAACTGATCCTCAACTAGGAAAAAATTACGAACCTGGTTAGCACCCGGGCCAATCCCGTACATGTGGAAATGCGGGCCCTTTAATAAATATATTTTTGAGATAGATTTTTGGATTTAATTTGTAAAGATATGAAATCTCTAGTATGGAGATAATGAATATGAAAAAGTAAATAAATTTTTAAAAGTAAAAATATTAGTTTTATTAAAAAAAGATATAGACTGCTAATTCCAATCGTTTTTAGATGAATCAAAGATAAATGCTTTATACTTCTGGCCTGCACACATGTAAAAATACAGTCAAGCCGGTACGAAACAATTTTTGAAAAACTACAGTTGGGGTAAACTAGAAAAAAGTGGCACCAATGGTTTTTTTTAGGAAAGGACTAAAATACCTTTTTTGAAAAATGCCTAAGTTAATTTCCAAAAGAATTAGTTTCACTTCACCTCGTATACTTAGTATGTTTGAAAATATGGGTGAAAATATTTTCAGATAGAACTACTCCACCCTATCACGCAACGGAGTTTTTTTACGGTGATTTTTTTTCTCACCAAATATAATCACGCAACGGAGTTTTTTTATGGTGATGTTTTTTTTCACCAAAAATTAAAAAAAACTCTCATATCTAATCACATGTTAGAGTTTTTTTTTATGCTAAAATACTTCCACAAAAGTACGTTTATGATAGCATTTTCACACATACCAGAAGTCTTAATATGTATTCATGAAATAGGGGTATTTAGATAATTTTTCCAACAGTGAAAACCGGAGTAATATGAGCTTTTCACTTCAATTCCATCGTTAATGAAGAAGGAAAGTTTAGTATCAAATGAAAGCGCATTTCTTTTTTACAAAAAGTTTATATACCTGTGAGGCTCTAAACAATCAAATTTGGGCGCACCTCACTAGAAAAGGTTGTTTTGATGATCAAATATCTTCAAATTGATCATCGCGACCTCTACATGCATGGACACAAGAAAATATAGATTTCAAGTTTTGGAAATAGTTAATCTTTTAATGCATTTTTAGACTATCGATTTTCAAAATTTTCAAGTTTTCTTGCGGCTCAATCTGCACTATTTTTTAAAGCTTTTAATGTTATAATTAAAGATGAAAACATATTTTAAGGTTGTTTCAAAGATTTAAATATTAAAACCGCATTTCTCAATACTATTTGAAAGTGTACTTTACGGTGATTGTTTAGAGCCTCGGCTTTATACAAACTGCACCCTTCTCTTTTATGACATCCTTATTGAAATTCAACAACACCAGCGAAAAAAAAAAGTTCAAAGAACCGACTAAAATTCAAGAAATCCCCAAAAACACTTGAAGAAGTACTTGAAATCCACTTACTTGGCCACTCGTGTGTTTCCAGGACCTGAATCCTTCTTTTCAGCTTCCTCCTTGCCGGAAAAACTAAGGTTCAAATCCACGGTCTCGGAGAACCCTCTCTTAGCAGGGAAACATTTCCCGGCGCTGTTTCCGGCGATTTCAGCTTCCCTCTTGACTGGCTGACTTTTTCCGGCTAGTTCCAGCTCCAAATTGTTTCTCCCTCCCCCTGGTAGGCCTAAGGTGAGCTCCGTCTCCATGAAATTAAGGCCGCACTTCTCGTTTCCCGGTGATCTTTCCACTGAATCACTGCCGGAATTCGAATTTCCCGACGATTTTTCCGAGTTTCCCGGCGCAGAGAGCTTCAGAATTTGTGTGCTGTGCTTCTCTTTCCGTTGATGAGAAGTGACGAGACTTATAAACAGATGCGGTTCTGGATTCCGGGATCGACGGTGCATAAATCGCCGCGTAGACAGTTGTTATTAGTTGTGATTCTTCCACGTGCGTGACGTCATGATCACCTTGGGAGTCGTGGAGCCGGACACTTAGTGGGTGTGTGGCTTTGTTTGGTTCACACGCTTAATTGGCTCGGCTCGACTTGGTTCGAGCCACTTTGGTTTTGTGAATGACGATAATGCTCCTAGTGTCTTCATAAATTAGCGAAATTGTCTTCTTTCGGTTACGGGCGGTAAATGAAAGATCAAGATTCGTACAGTTATACATAAATAGTTCAAAAAAGATTGTAATGATAACGATGTCCTTCAATTTTAATAGTATTGGACAAGAGAGTTTTAAATCACGGCATAATGGTTATTTTGAGAAAAAGTTATTTTATAGGGATTTTAATTTTTTATAATGAATTTTTATGGTCTAATTACTCTGTTAATTAGAGAGATAAGAAAGTGGGGCTTAAGCCCAAATTTAATTTATTAAATTTGATTTTAAGAGTTACTTAATAGGATTGTTTGTTGAGAAATTTATCAAACTAATTAAAAAGATGAACTATGTCATAATTTATCTATTTTAATTTTATCAAAGTATACATAATCCAAAGTTAAAACAGTAGAATGGACAAAAATATTCAATAGTTTATAAGTTGGGTATATTTTTTGATAATTTCTTTGTTCATCTTTACAAGTCAGAATCATGTAGATGTGAAATAGGTGGCTGAAGAAGTAATGTAGCTTCAAAACTTTAATCGAAATATAGATGTATCGAAATATAGATGATCCTTAGTTAAAATTGAAAAACAGGCAAAATATTAAATAGTTTATAAATGAGGTATATGTTTGATAATTTTTTATTACAAGTTACAATCGTGTAATGTAAAACAAGTGGCTGAAGGGGTATCAGTTTTGAAATTTTCTTTTTGGTAGTTAAGTAGTAGAAATCGAACTTCAAGTACTTCTAAACGTGGCTAACCACTTAAGTCTAAGCCTAATTTCCAGGTTTAAAAATCACCGGTGCTTTAAAATCTGGCAATTTACAATTCGAGTCCTTGATCTAGATGCAAAATTGGTTGGGACCTTATAGATTTCGAAATGGTACGGTCCCGTCCTGATTACCCCTAAAGCCTTGTTTTCATTTGTTTTTCTTTTTTTCTATAAAGCTTATCTAATGTTGTCTTTCGCCCCCCTTAAATTCCTTCCCTATAAACTTTTATTTTTATTTTTATTAATTTTTTTATTTTTTTATTTAGATCACAAATCCAAAGGATTTCAGAACAATCTAGATCACCGATGTAGTCATTCTGTACTGCGATCAGGGGTGGACGACTCGACTCACGGGTCCGCTTTTTAAAAAAAAAAGAAAACAAAAGACACTTGAAAATCTTTTCAAAATTTTCCATGTAAATTTGGAACTAATAGATATCACATAAACTTTTTTACCTTTGTGTGAAAAAGACAATTATGGTACAATCCCTTCAACTTTCAGCTCGAAAAATGGGAATTGTAAAAGTCGCTTTTGTTGTGTAGTACAGCATATAGACAAGAACGCGTGCCCACAGAGTGTGAGTGTGTAAACCTAAATCTTCACCAATTACCACTCAACACACATACATTTGAAGCACATAGAGTGATACATCTATCTGGTCCTACAAACAGGCGTGCGAGATCTTTTATTAAGATCCGTGTCAGATTGTTCGATCGAGTAGTCTGTATCAAGTTTAAATCGGTATAATTATTGATTCAAAAATATTTTAAAAAATAATAAAATAAAAATAAAAATTTAAAAAAAAGATTAATAGGTCTGGTAAGTTTGAATCAATCTAATTCACTTATCCAGATAAATGTTAAAAATTAATAAAATAACATAAAAATTAAAGGAAAAACATTGTATGAGTATGCAGACTCAAGAGCGCGCTGACTCGCAAACGTTCATCTTCAAGATGGACGTTGGGTAAATTGCATTGAAAAAAAACAACTTTTGGATTGTGCAAACTATATTCCTAAAAAAAATACATTTAAAACTCTAAAAAGAAATATTTTATTTACATACATCATCACCTTGGCCTATATCATCCATCCGTAAAAATTTTGGATAAAAAACCATCTTTAAGATGAAATTTAGAGAGGGAATGCATGTGTACATATGTTGATAGACTCATAGAAACCCCATCTAAAGTTAAAAAATAGTGGTTCATGTAGTCCCGAGATAGAAGGGACCTAATAAGATATTAAATAGGCTTACAAAAAGAAAATATATATATATAAAGGGGTTTAAGAAGAAAAAAGGCGGAGATCTATACTATCTTGGAACCGATTAAGTCCAAACTAATTCCATATACATAGTTGTAAACTATCACAACTATACTACATGTAGTGTAATACATTGTATTATGATATGTATGCTCCACCGTCCTCCTTAATAGGGACGCATGGTAGAACTGTCATCCATCTACCCATGAGAGCACATCATCTCTACCGATCATGATAGAGATTGGATGATACATGAATACGAGTAGTATAACACACTATAGTGCTGGTAGCATGGTAAATTTTTGAGAAAATATCTCTTTATCTTTTATTTTTAAGTTTTATTTTACAATAGATCCAATATTTTAAAAGATATCTTGGGGCATTAAAATTGTAGATTTTATTAATTTAAACATTTTTTTTAAGCCAAAAAAATCTAAAGTACATGTCGTTTCTAAAAGTCATCCTCCCAAACTTCTAAAGAGAGAAGAGTTTCATGGAGCTGAGAGGTTATCGGGAAGAGAGAGAGGTGTTTGGAGAAACATGGGACGAGAAAAAGAGAGAAGCATGGTGTATATAAAGGAAGAGAGAGAAATCATTGAGTTTAGAAATAACATGTCTTTCTCACATTTGTTTAGGTTAAAAAATAGGTTTAAAGTAGCCAAAAGGTAATAAGATATTTTTTGAAGCCTTGGATTTATCAAAAAATAAAACTTAAAAATATGAGATATGGAGATATTTTTTTCATTTTTTTTGGTAGATCAATAGGGAATGTAGGCCCATACCCGTGTTTAAAAATAATTAGTAGTTTTCGAACGCATCAATGAGAATGAAAACCTAGATGGTAGCACGATAAACTTAACAAAAATAAAAGCACAAAAAAAGTGGAAACACAAAAAATGATACTATTCTAAAAAGTAAAAAATAAAAAAGATAAAATTAAGGTTATCCCAAATACTTTCCAACAATAATAAGGACAAGGCCAAATGTCTAAAATCATTGGGGCAAAGACATCTTTCACTTAATAATCATTCATAAAAAGGTCCCCACCAATAAAAGAACAGCCTTTTCTCATTAAAATAGGTGTAGTTTTGTATCAGCCATTGAATGGAGAATATGAAGCCAAGCCATTGTAGAGCCAAAGGTGGGTACCATTAGGTCAATGGGCTCGGACCCAAATGGACCACGTGCTCGAGCCTGGTCCCACACTCACCATGTGATTGTGTTGCCATTTTTGAGACAAAGCCATAATTTATATTAATTCTTAGATTATCTAACCCCTCAATAAGTTAGCCCTCAAAAGGCAATTAATTATTTAATACCCACAATTTTCGTCGGGATAACGATTCTTTGCCGGTCAAAAACCAGTGGCAGGACTAGGATTCCGGCCTGAACTACTGGTCTTGGCGGCCGGAATTTAAGGCATATTTTTATACCTCAACTATTTAATTCTTAATATATTTATATTGGACTATATTTTGTACAAAACTAATTTTTTTGGGTTCCATGTGTTGGTTGGAAGGAAAACATTTCGATCATGAAGTATCTTTCACTTAGTCTAAACCATCATCTCTAAGTAAAGGCACCATTTGTTATCTTACATTATTTTATTCTTCCTTAATTTATTGTTTTCTATGATTAGTGTTTCTTTATTTTCCTTTTTTGGTGGCATTGATCCAAGGGAAAATGAGGTTTGGTTTCCATTCTCATAGTGTCAATAACTGACACATTTTCCCTCGTCATCTCTCTCACGTATGCGCACATGCACACGTACGCACCCAATTATAAGGGACAAGAAGTGAGACATTTTTGGGGTAGGGGTGTTAATGACTCGGATGGGTTTGGGCCGACGCTGATCTGGCTTGATCCAACAGGAGTATTAGCTGCACCTAGACGTTTTCCAAAGCCATATGGGTCCAAGTCGTTGGACCTGGATCTAACCTTCATGATAGGGTCAGATCTGGTATCGATAAAAGAAGATTAAATTTTATTATGAATATTTTATGAAGAATGATCCTATAAGACCTTTCTACGTTTATATGTATAGGACCTCAAAAGATCATCATTAAATTTGACACAGGGGTCTAAAAAAGTCAAATCCCACACTTAGATTATAACTTTTTTAGAGATATGTGCCAATTTTAATGGTGATCTTTTGGGGTCCTACACACATGGGTGTGGGAGGGTCTCATAGGATCATTATTCATATCTCATAGTACATAAAAGTAAGGATTGTATTGAGACTATTTACTATTATTGTAAAGACATCACAATTACTCATACTTGTAAAAACATCACAATTACTCATACTTATTAGATGTCAAAATTTATGACTTAAGATATATTATGAAGTTCAAAATTTTTGTTTTGAACTTTGAGTCTAATCAATAACACACTTTCAGCCACCTAATTTAAAGTTTAACTGACAAGAGTGAGTGTGACCTCCTCTTATTAAAAATGAATTGTCTCTTTGTATACTTTTTTGTAAATTATATTACATATATGCATATATATTATATATAAATATTGGCTCAAGTGGGGTTAACCTTGACTCGTGCTCGAATTAACTGATCATTTCGATACTAGACTGATCCATTGGGTCCAATATTTGAGTCCAAAACCGAACCATGTTGGGTCAACTCATTGGGTCGGCAGGACCACCCAGCCCAATTGCCTCCCCTAGTTACTGGGAGGTTTGCCAAGGACGCCCTATTGGCTTTTGGCCTAGCCTTGCTTGACATTTCATGAAATAAGGTATGGGGCCAGGCCCAAGCCAT